GTATGTCAGAACCTTCGTCCTCTGAAATGCTTGAGCAAAGCCCTTTCTCATTATTGTCCTGTTTCATTGGCCAGAATTCCTATGGGATCGGAAGAGGCTTGCCAGGTAAAATGTAGGAGGTCCAGTTAAACTTGAATTTCAGAACAAGAGAGTATGAGACGTATGTCCCTTGCACTGTTTGTGGTATACATATACTAAACAATGATTTGTTATTTATGTGAAATTCAAATTTCACTGTGCATCTGGAGTTTTGTTTATTGCTTATTTTGAGTGTTTTGCTTTTACTTTCTGTTTGTTTTATTTTGCAAAACAAATGAGTGCAGAACTAAATGAGTGGTGTTACACATATCCCATGCAGTATATATGACGACTGAGACCCAGAAAAATGACATGAATTGCCCAAGGTCCCAACAATGCCCTGACCAGGGCTGGATTCAAAACCAGGTCTCTCAGAATCCTTGGCCTTCCACGGAGACACAGTGAACAACCATGTGGCTGTCTCAAGTAGTTTGAGGAGCACCCAGAAGTTATTCCCCTACAACCAAACCAATCCACAAATCTGTCTTCTGCCTGTGTGGTAATGTAAATAGTAGTACCTTAGCGGTCATTCACACCTTCTTGCAAGGTTGAGTGGGAACACGGACCTTGGTGGGAGTTAAGGAAGGAGAGTAAGAATAAAAAATCCAGAATCTTGGGTACTGTGAGAGATGGGGGGTCAAAGAGGGATGCCCAAGGCTAAGGCATAATCTATCTATCCCAGTCCAGCTCTCCACCTTCCTCCTGCTCTTCATCATCTCATGCCCTTTCAATGGTTGCCCAGCCCCCTTGCCTTTGCTCCTGCTGTTTCCTCTGCCCACCCCTCCCCCACCTTCCCAGTCCCATCTCAAATGCCGCTGTCTTAAAGATGTCCCAAGTGCTTCAACCAAATGCAGCCCCAGCTCTCTGTCACGCTTCCTCCGGTATGCTGCTTCTGCTCAGCTGGAGGCTTCTTGAGGCCAAGGCCCTGTGCAGGGCCTGGAATGTAGGCAGCCGGCAAATGTCTGCCTGGAATGAGGGCAGGGAGGGGCCCCCAAAGCAAACCTCCTACTCTGCAGTTTTGCTGAGAGACTTGGACTGTGGCCAGCCTGCTCTGAGTCAGTGTGAGAGCAGCCAGGTGTGCCTGGCAGACAGCCGTCTTCTTGTGGGGCTCTGCAGTCCTTAGCTCCTCCTTCATAGTGTGGTCTATGAGGACCAACCTGAGCACAGGGTCTCTCTGTGACATTCACCAGGCCCTCAGTGCCTGGGGCAGGTGGCCATAAATACTTGTGACTTGGTTGAATGGATGGATGGATATAGTCACTCAACAAACATCGAAGATCGTGCCATACACTATTCCAAGCACTGGAGAAGCAGCCATGAACATGCCCAGCCCCTGCTCTCAGGGAGCAGGATCCGCCAAACGTAGATGGTAAACAAGTAGGCCCCCAGATCCATCAAGGTGTAATTTTCCAGATTCTAAGTGCTGTCAAAACTGAACAGGGTGGGGTGGGGTGGGGTGGGTATCTCAGGTCTCTGAAGGAGGTGGCAAGTGAGGCTGAGATATGACAGAGGGGAAGGAACCTGTGAAGAAAGGACGGAATGTCTTCAGGGCTGTGGAAACAGTTTTGCTATGGCCCTGAGGTGAGGTGAGTCTGGCAACGGGACAGAACCCAGGAAACCAGGCTAAAAAGAGGCAGGTGGGGCCAGAGTAAACGTTTGGATTATATTCCCAGTAAAACTGGCTGACTGGGAGGGTTTTAAGCACTGGAGAAAGACAATATGCTTTACATTTCAGAGGGGCCCTCTGGTTTCTGGGCAGAAAAAGGACTCTGGGATTGAGGTGGAAGCTGGGAGGGACCTTGCAAGGACTCCCGTTATTCAGGTGGTAACTCCACCCAAAGTGGGAGTGAAGGAGGTGGACAAAGGAACAGGGACTAGAGTTGATGCCACCTTTTCCTAAGGCCTTTGGTGGTGGATGGGCGGCTCTCCTCCTAGTCTCAGCCCTGTGCCCCCCCCCACTTACCCCCTCTTTCTGACTCTGCCCCACTGGGCCTCAATGCCAGATGGTTCCCGAGGAGTGCAGGGTAGTGAGAGGGTTGTAGAGCCTCAGAGAATTTGAGGGAATAGAGGGTAAGGGACTTAGAGAAATGGCAGCTGCTATGCATTGAACTAACCAGAAGGCTGGCGGTTCAAACCCACCAGCCACTCCTCGGAAGGAAGGTTGGGCAATCCTACTTCCGTAGTGATACTGCCTCGGAAACCCAAGGAGGGGTCGCTATGAGTCGGGGCCGACTCGACGGCACATAACAACAACAACAACAACATGCATTGAACACATTCTTTGTGCATCGAACACTTCGGCACATAACAACACTGCACATCCAGTACTTACTGCTACATTGACACTTCCTATACTATATATGGAGTGCTTCCTGTATACACTGACACTTCCTATACTGTGCACATGGATACTTCCTACACTGTACATCCAGTACTTGCTGCTACATTGACACTTGCTATACTGTATGTGGGAGCTCTGCTGGCATAGTGCCTAAGGCATATGACTGCTAACCAGAAGGCTGGTGGTTCAAACCCACCAGCCATTCCTTGGAAGGAAGATTGGGCAACATACTTCCATAGTGATACCCCCTTGGAAACCCAAGGAGGCGTCAGTATGAGTCGGATCCTACTTGATGGCAGTGCATTGAGTTTATACTATACATGTGCCTAAGGCATTTGACTGCTAACCAGAAGGCTAGCAGTTCAAACCCACCACTCACTCCTCAGAAGGAAGACTGGGCAATCTACTTCCATAGAAATACTGCCTCAGAAACCCAAGGAGGGGTCGCTGTGAGTCGGATCCAACTCCACAGCAGTGAGTTTGGTTTGGTTGGGTTATACTGTACATCAAGTACTTCCTGCTGTGCTGGCACTTCCTACACTGGGTACGTGAGCACTTCCTCTGTTCCAGGTACCATGGGATGAGTGCTACCTCTTGTGTCTCATGGGAGCCTTTATAACCTAATGGGTGTAGATGCACACTGATTGGACCCATTTCACAAGGGGAAGAGACTTGGTCATAAGGACACACCAGGTCGTTGATGCATAGCCTCACCCTTTCTGTGACCTTAATGGGAGGACTATACCCCAGGCTCCTATGGGGTATGCATCCTCTTCAGCAGACAGGACAATCGTTGTTCTCACACATCTGCCTGGGACTGCCCATGTCCCCTCCCAGGAGGGAGGGAGTGGAGGGGAAGTGGGCGGAGTGAGGCCACCTAGTGGGTGGCATGTGGCTTGTGGCACCTTCACCTGTGCCTTCAACTGATGCCTATCAAGAGCTGGGAACAAACAGACAAAAGCCCTGTCCTCTTGGGCCTGACGTTCTTGTCGGAATGACAGCCAATAAATAAACGAGTATCGACAGCCTGTCAAGAAGTGATGAGCGCCACTGAGGAAGTCCAAGCGGGGAGGAGGACAGACATAGGGGACAGGTGCAGCGTGTACTGAGCTTGTATCATATGCAGAGGTGCACACTGATTGGCCTGGCCTGCCCTGGGGAACCTGCGTGTAGTTTGGGAAAGATAGGTAAACAAGGATAGCTTCAGATAGGGCAATGAGGAAAGTGAAAGGAGACAGAGGAGGCTTGAGCAACTGTGAGGACCAGGAGGCGGCCATGGAAAGAACAGGACAGTGCAGGCTTCTGGCCCTGAAGCCAGAAAGATCTTGACTTATGGGAGAGGCTGAGAGGGGCCTGTGTGGCTGGCTGGAGGGTGTTGATGGGGCAGAGAATGTGATAGGGAATTTAGTGAAGTGGGCAGGGGCCAGGCCCTCCGGCACGCTTCAGTGACTATTTCAGAACGTTCTTTAATCAGCCTCTTAAATGAGGTGAGCTTCCAGCTGCAGGTTTGTTTACTCTGCTGATGGGCTCACTTAAGAGTTAGTATTAGGGATGTGCTTAAAGCCTGACTCAGTCCCCAGTTGCCCACATCCCTAATTAGAGAGCCTAACTGCTGAGGCCATCCTACCTGCCTCTAGCACCTTCCAGGGCTAGCACCTTCTGTTGTGGTGGCTTAGGTGAACAAACTGAGTGTGGGGGTGTCTGTTCGGACTGAGATGACTTGGGATGCACCTCCGTGGGCTCACCTGTCACTGTGGGATGACAGTGTGTCTTCTGGGGACCTCCTAGGCACCCAGGGCCCAAGGGATGCCTTGTTCTCCGTGGCCTTATCCCTGGGGACTCAGTGTGAACAGGGTTGTGTTTTACTTGCCCTAGAAACCTCTGTGCATGGTGTCACCTTGTTACCCCTCGTCACACCTGGTTTTCCTGCAGGACGATCCGGTGTGAATGCCAGCTGAGCCGGGCTCTTAAAGATTATGTGTTGTGTGAAACATGTGCCTTTTTTAGGGTGCTGATAAGGGCAGTTTCCTGAGTGTGAGATTGGGAGCTCAGGCTCTGGAGTCCTGCAGGCCTTGGTTCAAATCCCAGCTACGCTACTATGAATTTCATGACCTTGAAGAGTTACTTAATCTCCGTGAGCTTCAGTTTCCTAATCTGAGAAATGGGGTTTATTATGGTTTCTGCCTCAGACAGTTTTTGTAAGATTAAATGGTATAATTCGTATAAAGCTTAACTTGGCCTGCTGCTGGCCCATGGTTACAATGCTAACTTCTAGTAGATCTCTGTTTCGATGCTGCCTCCTGCTCCTCCAGTCCCTCCCCGAGCCCTTTGTCAACCATTGGAGTAGATGCTTTCAGTGCAGTGACAACAGCCCTAGAGAGAGTACTGGGGGCAGACGTCTCACCAGACATGCTCTGCAGACTGTGGTGGGGGCCGAGAACTGGGTCTTTGGAATTAAGCAGTGGCTTAATTCTCTTCTCCTCACACCTGTAGGAGCGGCTCTGAGTGCTTCCGAGCAGCCCCCAGACGCAGTTGGTGCTGCCCAGCACTCTCCTCTAACGGGTGTGCCCTTTTCCTCCAGTGCTGCTGCGGGAAGAAGTGTCTCGGCTCCAAGAGGAAGTACACCTTCTCCGGCAGATGAAGGAGATGTTGACGAAGGATCTGGAGGAGTCACAAGGTGGCAAGTCCTCTGAGGTTCTCTCGGCCACTGAGCTCAGGGTCCAGCTGGCTCAGAAGGAACAGGAGCTAGCCAGAGCCAAAGAAGCTTTGCAGGGTGAGTGATGCGTTAACACGGGTACTTTCCTTCACCTAAGGTTAGGCTCAGCCACAAGTGCCAAGAGGCCAGGGTCCTGCCTCTGCAGGGAGCTAGTGTGGACAAAGCACCAAGACTCCCAACCCCCTGAGGCTGCCTTGTCCCTTTGGGTGGAATTCTGCATCCTGTAGGGTTGAGTTCAAATGCCATTCCTCCCTCTGGAGCAATACCATCACATGTCTCTCAATGTTGGATCGGTGCACTGCCCTCCACGGTGTGAATTACAGGTGGGCCTTTGCATCTTCACTGAACCAAGTCACTGACCCAGCAGCTGATCTCCCTGGTCTCAGTCTCCTCGGAGCCTATCTGTGCCTCCCGTCATGGCCAGCGTGGTGGTTATTCTGCTGGAGACACAACTGTACCCTGCTTTACCATAGTGCACTCTCCTGGGAAGAGCTTAGGCTTTACATTGCTTGGTCCAGAGGAACTTCCCTTTAAGAAGTGCAGTGTCCAGCTCTGGACCCAAGGGGGAAGAGTTGGAAGAGGTTGTGGTATAGTTGCCCACGTGGATTATTGGCAAGATGGACTATGGACATGTAACCACCATGTGGCATATGTGTTGTCTGCAGCCAGAAATGCCTTTAGGAAAAGAGGAAAGCAGTGGCCCCACATGTTCAACCAGTTTTCCTTGGAGCTGGTATGGGACACCAGCAGCTCTCTTGTGCCCATACTCTGCTGGGCCAGGGGAGGAGTCTTCCAAGGTAATTTGAGAATGGTTGGAGGTCCTCTAACCTGTGAACCTGCTCCACAGTGCTCTGAGAGATCAGGCCTGAAGCATTGGAGAGGAAGTAGACTTGTGTACATACCTTTACGATCTTTGTGGATTCTCTTGAGTCGCCTTAGTTTCTTTGACTCTCCAGAAAAAAAAACAAGGCAATGAAATTTTACAGCTTGCTTTTCACTTACTATTTACTATAACAATGAGTACTCTTTGAAAACTTTGCTTTTGAAGCCAAGATAGTTGTATTACTTAGGTTAATACCAGGCTGCTGTAACAAAGACCCCAAAACTGAGTGGTTTAAAGAATCTAAGAGTTGCTCTCTACTGTAACCATCCTTAGGTGAGAATTTCTGGCTGGTGTTCACCACTGTTCCTCTTGGTCCATCAGAGACCAGGGAAAGAGATGCAATTGAGGGCCAGAGATTTCCTTTGGCAAGAGCATGGTCATGTGGCCAGGCCTAGCTATAAGGGTGTTGGGAAATGTAGTTCTTGCTTGGTGGCCATGTCCCACCTTCACTGTGGGTTAAGAGGAAATGGATTTTGCTGGATAAGTCATCACTCAGTCATTGCAAGTTTCTTTGACCAGAAGTGTGATGTGTGCAGCAGTACAAACACATACTCTGGCAAATCAGGCTGTTTGTCCACTAACCTCACCCAGCAATCCCGGGAAATCATTGTCAAGGGTTAACCCCTGTTCTGAGTGGTATAACACTCTTTAGAAGAGTCCTTTTCAGCAACACATGTTACTCTCAAAAGCAGGTTGACCATCTTCTGTGCAGGTTTTGTGTCTAGTGGAGCTGCTGAGGCAGTGTTCTGGGTAGTCCCTTCAAGCTCTAGTGGACAGGAGGTATGCACTGTGGCCCAGCTGATGTTACACAATTGGGAAGTCATTTTGCCAAGCAAGTGTGTTTTTTTTTTCTCTATGCAACCATCCAGCAGTCTAAGCAGGTCGATCTGAACCTCCCTCTATTTGCAGCTTCCCAGGGGCCTCACAACAGCCTCACCACTTCTCAGAATGGAGGGTCCCTTTGCTGGAGACTCAGGCCTTGAGGGTCTCCGGTGAGCAAGTGTTGGCTGAGCCCAGGCTGTGCTGGCTCATGTCCTTTGGTCTCTCTCAGCTTTATGATCCTGCAGAGCATTGGGACTGCCTCAGGAAGTAGCCAAATGCTGTCTTAACCACCTTTTCCAGTGTTCATTCCACAGAGAGAAACCTGTCTTCTGTATCCTTGGCCAAATTCTTGCCATATTCACCCCTTTGGACCTATAAGGAGTAAATCCTCTCTCACTTGTTCCTGGGCCCAGAGGAAGGGGCAGAGGACTAAGCAGAGGCTCATTGACTCCTACCCCACCCCCCAGTTTCCAGCAGCATGGCTTTGGGCACACAGCCTGCACTCTCTAAACCTCAGTTTCCTGATCTGAGTGATGGGGCAGCAATGGTCACTTCTCAGGACGTTGTGAGAATTAAATGAGGTAATGTCTAGAGGAATCCCTGGATGGTGCAAATAGTTAAAATGCTCAACTGATAACTGAAAGGTTTCTCTGACTGGAGGTGTGATGTGGGGAGCAGTTTTGAGTCTATCCAGAGGCACCTCATAAGAAAGGCCTGGCGATCTACTTCCAAAAATCAACCACGAAAAACCCTGTGTTGGACAATTCTACTCTTACACACATGGGGTCTTCCTGAGTCATTGTGAACTCAGCCATGACTGGTTTGGTTTGGGTTTTAATATCTCTCAAGGTGGAAGCACAGTTCTTGCTGAGGGAGAGTTGGCCATTAGCATCATGCACATCCTTTTCCCTTTAACCCACAAGGCACAGAGCTGCACCAAGCTTTTCTTTCTAACTTCTGCACTTTCAGATTTCATTATCCATCACTCAAGGTCTTTTTGGCCTTGCCCAGGGAGCCAGAGATCCATCTGATGTCCAACTCTTTGTAGAAACAATAAGCTCACCAATAAGAACTTTGGTCAGTATTCATTAAAGGAGTGTGTTATTGAGCACCTACTATGTGCCAGCAGTGTTCACCCCAGCCCCTCTAATAGTGTTATGGCCCTTTCACAGATGGAGACACCTGGACAAGGTTCAGGGAGGTTAAGAAACTTGGCCAAATTTGCAGAGCTGATTGGCAACAGAGTCCACTCACCAACAGACTTCACCTTCCCTCTGGGTGTGGTCCCTGGGAATAAAGTTGGTGTGGATGAGAAAGACAGGAGGCCATCTATTATGGGCTGAATTGTGCACCTACCCCAAAATGTGTGTTAGAGTTCCTAACCCCTATGCTTATGGATGTAATCCTATTTTGATACTGGTTTTTTTATGTTATGATAATGCAGCCTTATCAGTATAGGATGTGTCCTACAGAAAGAGTAGTATAGACAGAGGTTAAAAAAAGAAAAAAAAAAGAACAAACTCACTGCTGTGGAGTCAGGTCTGACTCATAGTGACCCCTCCTTGGGTTTCCAAGGTAGTATCTCTAGGAAAGTAGATTGCCCAATCTTCCTTCTGAGGAGTGGCTGGTGGGTTTGAACCGCAGCCTGTAGGTTAGAGGAGGAGCACAAACCATTTGTGCCACCCAGGGATCTTTTTTTTTTTTTTCCTTATAATAGGGGATAATAGTAGTAGCACTTCATAGGGTTGTCTTGAGGATTACGTGAGATGTGAAATGGCTACTACCAGCGAATGCGAATACTCAGTGATTATCAAATGTCAGACCTCTGTGGACCTGCTAGATGTTGGCCACCTGATTCCCATTAGCGGTGGCCCAGGTCTGAGACACCTCCTGAGCCCAGGTGAGGTAGCATTGTTTCCTGCAGATCATGAGTGGGCACCTTTAGCCCCCTCGAGCATCCTGACTAGACTCTGCAAAGTCATAAGATGCTTCTTCACCAGCCACAGCACGTGGTGACTACATTGTAGACAGATGGGGCAGGAGGAGTCTGGGACATGAGAAGGGATTTATATGCCCATAATGAGGAGAATGAGAATAAATGTTCAAGCAATGAAGGCAGCAGATGTTAGGTGACACTTTTGTTAACAACCAGTGTCCCCGTTGTGGGGAAAGCAAAGCCCCCAAAGACTTCCATTCAGACAGTTCCCGCTTCTCCCTGTCTTTGGTTTAGGGTTGGATGGAATCTGAATTTTCCAGCTTGTGAGAGAATTAGGAACTCAGAAAACATCCAAACATTAGGTCTAGGTTCCAGCATCGAAGCAATGAAAGGAGTCAAGTCTGGAGAAAGCAGAGCTTTAGAAGACTCTAGGGTTTCTTCAGAGATGAGTGTGAGAATGTTTAGTTTAGGATTTTGGTCTCTTGTCTGAGAGTTTAAGAGCAAAAGACCTTAATGATTGCTTAAGACAGAACAGTGTTATCTTTTGGGTAAGCTAACCCCAGAGTCCTAGGCCACCAGCCCTGGTGAGCTTGTAGCCCGTGGGAACTTCCCTTGATTTCCTCAGACTCCCTGTTTTGTTGAGTTCTTCTAGAATGAAGGCATTGCAAAAACAATAATGAAAATTTATTTCGTCTCTTTTTTTATCATTTAATGGCATGTTGAGTGTGTTGAGCATTTCCCCACAACAATAAATACTCTTAGAAAACATAATTTTTAATGACTACATAATGTTCTACCAAATGGAGGTACTATAATTTATTTAGCCATTTCCCTATTATTGGACATTTAAGTTGCTTCCACATTTTTTTTTTTGTCATTATATGTTGTTGTTGTTGTTGTTAATATGCCGTAGAGTCGGCCCCGACTCATAGCGACCCCTCCTTGGGTTTCCAAGGCAGTATCACTACGGAAGTAGGATTGCCCAACCTTCCTTCCGAGGAGTGGCTGGTGGGTTTGAACCGCCAGCCTTCTGGTTAGCAGTCAAGTGCCTTAGGCACTACGCTATATTGTCATTATATAGTACTGCAATAAAGATCCATGCATGTAAATCTCTTTTTTTTAGGATAATGTTTCTCAAACTTTTTGGTCTCAGGACCCCTTTATACTATTAAGAATCAAAGACCCCAGAGAATATTGGTTTATGTGACTTAGATCTATCAGTCTTGCCATTTTAAAAGTTAAATCAGAAAAATTATAAATCTTTAATAATTTATTTTAAAATACATTTTACTTGAATCTGTAGTCAACAACAATGGAAGCAGCAGTCAAGAAATCAGATGTCTTATTGCACTGGGCAAATCTGCTGCAGTAGACCTCTTTAAAGTGTTAAGAAGAAAAAATGTCACTTTGAAGACA